GAGGTCACAGGGGAGGCTGGTGGTTGTGGCGGGCCTCCAACCCACCCGTCCTTCAGAGGGCCCAGCCCCTGCCACCCCTGTGCATGAGCTGGGAGGCAGGAGTGTCTCCAACCGCAGAGGCAGAGACAGCTCCCGGGGCCCCCAGGCCACTAGCCAGCTTCCTCAGGCCATCCTGACCCCAGAGGTCTAAGCAGGTGAGAGACAGAGGACAGCCCTGGCCAGGGGCTCTGGGAGGGCACAGATGTGCGCAGCCTGCTGACCAGACCGCCAGAATGGCCAGGGCCTGCAGATGTTCAGCACCAGCTTGGCAGGGCACAACAGCCTGGCTGGGCACTGTGCCCACTGGGCAGCCCCTGGCAGGCGATGTCTTCCTGCTGAGCCGGAGCACAGAGGTGCAGGGGCTGGCAGCTGGCCAGGGGGGCCTGGCAGGCCATGCATGGCCGGGATCTGCCCCCCAGATCTCCCCACCCCAAAAAACAGAGGCGTGGCCGGGCAGCAGAAGCCAGGGCAATGCTGTATAAGGTCTGAGCTGGCTCGTCCAAACCCGGGCTCCGCACACAGACGGCCAGGCCTAGGCAGTGCCTGAGAGCCCCTCCCTCCCTCCTCCTCCTTCAGTGCCTCCTTGAGTAGCTGAGCTGCACCCCGGGGAAGTTCTGTCCCACATGTGACCACCAGCCGGAAAGGTCAGCAAAGAGCAGCCAGCAACAGCAGTCAGAACAGAAGCATTGCTCCTGAGCTGGGCTGCTCCTGGGTACAGGGAACTGCAGGTCAGCACCTCTGTCATTCACAGAGGAACCTGCAGTCCAGGAAGCAGTGCACTTTCTAGCACCCACACACATCTGCCAGGCCTTCTGCCAGCCCCAGCCCTGGCAGCGGCTCTCAATGCTGCAACCCTAGTCCCAACCTTCCCCGGACCCTAACCGGCCCCACACTGCCCCCTAGGGGCGTCATGCTGAAGCACAGCCACACAAGGGCCTGTCCTGCGGAGCTCTCACATGCCCTGCGCACTGCGCACACACCAGTAATCAGGATCGTGTCACACTTGCTCTGGGAACATCTGCCTCCCTGCTTTCCTCTGCTCCGGCTGGCTGCCAGGCCTGCACACCCTGGCACAGTCCCTGTGCCTCCTGGCACTTCTGGCTCCCACAAGCAGCCAACACCAGGGTGACTAATGGTTTTCCTTGGGAGATACCCCATGGCCAACCCACACACCCATGCCAGCGTTGGCTCGTCGTGGTATGGCAGGATGGCACAGGCTGCAGGATGGCCACCTGGGAGGTGGGCCTGAGGGGCCAAGCACCCTGTAGCTCCCAAGCCAGCCACACTTGCAGCCACCACTGACCTCCAGGAGCCCCAGATTCAAGACCTACAGGCAGCCATGACCACTGTGCCTGGGCATTGCAGAGGGAGATGTTCAGAGGCCCACCCCACAGGACAGGTTCTCAGTCCCAGGCTCCCTCCTCAGCGAGAGAGCGGAGCTGCCTTCTCCCCAGTGGTGATGTTCAGAGACCCACCCCACAGGACAGGTTCTCAGTCCCAGGCTCCCTCCTCAGCCAGAGACAGCAGCTGCCTTCTGTCCCCAGTGGGGTCCCCAGCACCTGTGAGTATGGTCTTTCACCCTCCAGTATCCCTGTCCCCAAGATGGTGACATTGTGCAACAAGAAAACATCACAGTGGGGAGAGAAGGGTGGAGTTGGGATAACAGGGAAATCTTTGTCCTGCCTTTTGGGGCAAGGGACTCTGCATGCTGCCCTGAGCCCAGTCACCAGCCCCGCAACCCTGGGTCCTGACCCCTCCCTCCATGAAGCCAGGGTGGGGTGGCCTGCTGTCCCCTTGGCGCCCCTCCGAGGCACACGTCTCCTCATTCTTGGGTCCCCCATATGCTCTCTGAGGCACTGCTGAGGCATCCCAGGGACCCCGAGTCGTCTGGCCGGAATCGCTATCCTGTCTGTGACTGAGACCCTCTGCAATCACAGAGGCCATGCAGAGGCGAGTGTGCTGAGCTTCCCTGGGGACTCCTGCGTGGCTGTGTCTCTGGGGATGCCCTGTAGCCAGTGTCAGGACATCTTGGGTGCCAGGGAATGGTCACATGCCCAGGGAGCTTTCTCACACGCCTCCCATGGTGAATTGGGGCCAGGGCCTTGAGTCCATAGCCAGGAGGCCCAGATCCACCGACAGCCACTGTCCTTCCACGGCTGGGGCCCTAGGGCCACACAGTGCCCCTCCTTGCTGTGCCCCGGCAGGGCTGCAGCCGGGCTCCCTGGGCCTGAGTCCTCCCCCACCCCAGCTCAGTGGATGGGAGTGCATTGGAGACCTCTCGGTGCCCAGCCTCCTTACCAGCACAGCCCCAGGGAGACCACGTCCCCTGTGCTGGATGAGGCTCCCACGAGGGCGCAGGAGGGGGCTGTGAGGGTGGCGATGCCCTGGCTCTGGGTTGTCATGGGTACCGGGGCCCGGATGGGTCCCGACAAAAACCACAGCAGGCTGCATTCGTGTCAGACTCAAGGAAGCCTAGGCTGAGGTTCAACCCTGGAGAAGACAGCTGGTCACGCAGGGCCACCTGGCCCAGTGAGTCCGGGATGCGCTCCGGTCCCACTAGAGCCAGGACAGGGTGCACTTGGTCCATGCTGGGACCCTGCTGCTCCCAGGGCATCACCAACCAGGTCAGCGTCTCCTTCTTGGGGTGTCAAAGGCTCAGGAGCCACAGCTGAGGGCAGCGCGGGACCAGAGAGATTCGGTGCAGAGAAGACCAGGCTGCTGCAGAAAAGCGCCATCTAGATGCTGCTGATCTCCAAAACAGCTCAGCGGAGACTTCTGTCCAAGAGGACCCCTCTCCGGCCTCGACCAACAACTGCAGCACCCACGCTCCTGGGGCCTCCATACCGCCCACGGGGGCCCCAGGGACCAGCAGGTAAGAGGCCGTGGGCGCTGAGCTGGACCATAGCACACACCTTCCTCCTCCCCTCTCGGTGGGGAACACCGGTGCCCTCTGTAGGCCTAAGGGGTAGTTTAAGTCGGGCTGAGCCTGACCAGGCCATCACAGTCTGGAGCTCTGCAAAGGGTAGCCCAGGGCTCTGGGAGGCTGAGGCAGAAAAATGACAAGTTCAAGCCCAGCCTGGGGAAATGGGCAAGACCCTATCTCAAAAGCAAAAGATAAGAAAAATGCTGAGGATGTAGCTTATTGTGAAGGACCTGGGTTCGCTCCCCAGGACTGTGGAAGGAAGGAAGCAAGGAAGGGATGGACAGGGAAGGGAAAGGGAGAAGGGAGGGAGAGGAAGGCTCTTTTGTCCCCAAACCCAAGCCCTAGTGGGACAGGAGCAGGCCTGGTGCTGGTCCTTCGGGGGAGCAGAGTCAAGCAGCTAGATGCCCAGGCCCCCACTGGCAAGGGCCAGGGGCTGTGGGCTCGGTGGCTCCTTGGGGCCTGAGCCTCACAGCCTGTTCAGGGCTGGCTGTCTGGGCAGTGGCTCTGGCGTGGAGTGACAAAGGCAGAGGACATCCCAGTAGAGCTGCAAAAGCCAGGAGCAGGGTCTCTTATCCACAGGACGTCCGACAGACTCCCCACCAGCTCCTCCTTGCTGTGGACCCAGGAGCTCTGGCAGCAACAGAGTCTGAATCCCATAGTCCCAGGCAAAATGGTGGCTACAGCTGCTGCTGACCTGTGCTGCCCTTCTCTCTGGGCCTCACTCGCCAAATGGTACTTGTCAGGCAGCAGCCAGCGGGGTGGCTGGCAGTGGGGAGAGGTAACCCAAAGGGATGCGTGACTCAGCACGCCCAAGTTCAGAGCCCAGCCTGGCCCAGCCCAGGAGGATGTAGGAGCCCTGACTTGTGGACACAGCACTTCTGAGCCAGCCAGCCCTGCCCTGAGCTGCCCATGCCTGTTCCCGGAAGGGCTGGTTCACCGCAGCCCTGGATGCTGGAGCATCGAGAGCCCCATTCTACAGAAAGAGAAACTGAGGGTCACAGATGCCAAAAGCACGCCAAAGGTGCCAAAGACACGCCAGTTCGAGGAAGGGCAGAGCCTCAGCTGGCCAACCTGTAGGGGTTCTGAGCTGCTAGTTTTCTCCAAGCAGCTGACAACATTGATTGCTTAGGAGAATGGGGTTGAGCTGCATGCACAGACTCGGGTCAAGACCCATGGAAGGGGTCTCTAAGAAAGGAGTTGGGGTCACCAAAGCCTACCCTGCCTCCAGGATGGGGACCCCACATGACAGCTGAGGCGTGGGCTTGGATGACCCCGTGCACTGGGGCCCAGTGCCAGCCTGCAGGGTCCCTGGGGACCAGCACCACCTGCTGGGCAGAGACAGAAAGCTCCCCACCCCCTGCCCAACCCCAGGGGCAGGAAACAGGCCAAGCCATCCCAAGGGTCCATGCGCCAGGGCCAGGCATAGGGGTAGGCAGTGAGGGAGGGAGGGAAACAGGGCTCTGGCACAGGGGTCAGGTGTGGCTGGGTGGCCTGGGGGTCCCCGCTCCTCCGTGGGCCTCAGTCTCATCATCTGTGTGCTGGAGCAGAGGTCAGCACCCGCTGCTGCCCATGGACAGGGAGGTGGCGGCCTTGGTGCATGGCTGCACTGGACAGCACCTGTATGCATAAGTGGTTCTCAAGACCCATGCAGGTAGAGCCATGGGGACTTGAGGAAGGCAGAACCACACAGGGCGGGGTCAGGAAGGGCCGCAGGGCCGCATCCATCCGGCAGAGCCCAGGGTCTAGAGGGAACCCTGGGCTGAAGCCTGCATCAGGCAGGGGGCTACCAGGCAGGATGGAGGAGGCAGCCTGCAACCCTGCTGGCCCGGAGCCTGCCTGGTGGTGCTGACCCCAGGCTCCTCCCGCATCTCCGGGGGCAGTGACGCCCCCAAAGCAGCTGCCTTCCCAGTCCACTCTGCCCCAGCTCCCCAGACCTGGAGACATGAGGGTCATTCCAGTCCTTCGCAGGTGGCCCGGCTGGGACAGGAGCCACGGGGAGCCGCCCGCCTCCACTGTCTCCCCGCAAAGCAGTCACCGCCCAGCCCCATGCAGGGGCTCCTGACTGACCCAGGCCCAGCACCTGTCTCGCCCTCGGGACCTTCCCACAGGGCCTCTTCCCCCACGAGCAAAGTGACACATGTTCAGCAGGGCTGCTCCTGCTCCACTGCAGCTGACGGCCCAGGCCTGGAGCTCACAGCTGCCAAGCACACACCCCATGCACAGTAACCGCCTGTGGAATGTCTTCCCGCTCAGGGAGAGGGCTCCCTGCACCTGACGTGGCCTGCGGTTCTCTCTCCACCTTAGCCCACTCCTGCGGGTGAGGGCCAGGGGCTGGGCAGACAGGGAGAATGAAGGATAGTCAGGGCCTCTGACATGAGAAGCCACGTGGACCTCGCCTCCCTCCCGGCACGCACAATGCGAACTGGGTTTCCCCTTTGCAGGCAGCCCGGCCCGGCCCACCTCTGTCTGTGGACTTTCATTCATTCTTTTTTGCAGGGGTGGTACCGGGGATAGAACTTGGGACCTTCACACTTGCAAGGCAGGCAGCAAAACCACTGAGCTAAATCCCTGGCTCTCATTCATTCCTTTGGTCATTCAGCCATGTTTGTTGGAGACCCACAACATGCAGGACTTGGGCACAGGGGGTTAGGGCAGGGGGCCAGCAGCCTGAGCCCCTGTCCGGGACCCTGTCATCCAGTGTTGCAACCACAGGTGGATGGGAAAGTCACAGTGTGTAGGGATAGGGGTGCCGTCAGTCACAGACCCACAGACCCTGCTCTGGGTGCACGTGAGCAAGGCCTCACCATGCAGGAGAGGCAGGAAGATGTAGCACTGGGAAGGGGGAAGGCCCAGGGCAGAGGCGTGGGAGCCAGGGGTCCAGGATGGCCAGCCAGGAAGTCTCCATGGTCACTTGGACTTCCCCCAGGGGCTGCAGGTACCTAAAAGGGGCTGTTCCGCGGCAAACAGCAGGAATGGTTCACGGCCACCTGCAGGCTAGAAAGAGGCGTCAGGAAAGGCCTGGGGTGGACGCTTGAAGGGGTAAGGATGGTGGGGCACCTGGGCCTCCGAGCCGGGCAGTAGGGGCAGCCTGAGGCTGGACAGCACTGATTGCAGTTCCCCAGAGGAGGAGGAGGGTGCGGGGTGTGACCAGGCCCAGCGCAGTGGATGGCATGGAGCCGCGCACTGCAGGGCCCAAAGACACATTCCAGAACAGTCAGACCTGGGCGGAAATCCTAGCAGCAGCTGAGTCCACTGGGGGCTCCTTGGGAAGGAGTGTCATGGGGTGCATGTGTACCCAAGTCGGACGAACCAGCTGCAGCTTGGCCTCTGTGCACTTGCCCTGTGCCAGCCGCACCACAGAGGCAGAATGAAAAGGCAGTCAGGCGTTTCGCCGACCACAGTCCCCGACACGGCGATCGAGTCCAGCGGGGCTGCACACGTATCGGTCCCTGCCTGACAGGCTCTCCAAAGCTCGGGCTGCAGAGAAGGGGATTATTGGAGCCGGTGAGGGAGAGGAAGGAGGAAAGCAAGAGGACAGCCTGGCTGCGGCCCCACACGGGGACAGGGGCAAGGGTCCCGCCTGCGGAGTCGCCATGTCACCCAGCACAGTGTGGGTCATCCGTGGGCCCAGGCCTGAGCCGCAGCACCCAAGGGTCTGCTGGCCCTGGGGAGGGGCCTACGGAGGGGGCCAGAGGTCGGGTTGCACACACAGGGACTTCCCCGAGGTGGCCGCCCCTCTGCTCGGTCCTGAGAGGCTGGCCAGGCCCGGGCCGATCA